TTGTTGATATCCGTTAAATGTGCTAAATAGTTTCAGGCTCCCTTTCAATAACTCTGGGCAGATAAAATGTAACATCTACATTTAATGACAGTTTTTCCTCAACACAGTGTCTGACATTTAATTAAATGTGCTTTTTTTTTTTTTTTTTGGCCACAGGGTCAACCTCTTTGAGAGTTTCTAAATTCTTGTAATGAAATGGATACAGGTTTTTTCTAGAAAACCACAGCGTTTTACTTTCGGCTGAAGTGCCTGTGTAGATATACAGTGACTCCGAGAGGCCACATAACACATAGGATCACGTTACTCTCCTGCTTAGGAGTGTCACAGCTCACGTGGTCTCCAAAACCAAAAATAGCAGCTTAATACTTACATGGGGATTATAAGGATCCAGCACATACTAGCACTTTACAAGCATAATTTCGCTTCTTCCTCATTTTACGTACATCAAGGAGCCATGAGAGTCATCCCGCTCCTACACACGGAGAAACGGAGGCCGGCGGCTGGCCAGTGACCTGCCATTGGCCACACATCCAGAACCAGGAGGGGCCTGTGCCGGAAGCCATGGAACTAGTGCTCTTCATTAAATGACATTGCCTCTGTCAGCATGTTCTAGTGTTTTCTCAATCGCATGCTTTACGGTTTGTGATAATACTATTTACAGTATGCTTCATAATCAAGAAGGATCACAGTGAGAATACAGAACCCACTTTGAAGTGCTTTAAAGCAATGAACTCTGAGGACAGGGGTAATATTTGCTATTAACTTTTTATCTCCTCTCCCTAAAGTTAGCAGAAAATATATAATTCATCCATTTAATAACCTCTATCCCTCACTGGCCATTCTGGAAGCTTCTTCCAGGGGACTGTTGCCTCGCAGCTGATCTGGAATTAAAAACGGAGCCAGGGGCACGTACACCCAAGGTATACCATGATGCTTAAGATGTGTTTTGGAGATAAATGGACCTGCTCCTGAATTCAGCTTCTGCAATCACGCACAATGGTTTGTAGCGAGCTACCTCTCTTTGCTCAGGAACAGTTTCCACATCGGTAAATTAGTAACAATAATATGAAGCCCAGAGTTGTTTCAAGGATTTAAATTAGTTTATAGGTATTCAGAACAGCACTTTCCACAAAGTACTCAATAAGTGGGAGTTTCTGAAAAATCTCGTATCCATTTTACATACATAATTTACGTAGAGTGAAAAGCTTAGTGAGTTTACCATTTAATGAGTTTTGACAAATGCGTATCATGATGCAGAACATTTCCATCACCCCAGAAATCTCTCTCTTGTACCTTCCCCATGTAATCTCCCACCAGGGCCAGCACTGATCTGATCTCTATCATCATAGGTTAGTTATGGCTGCTCTATAGTTTCATATAAATCTTAAATATCTGGGTTGTTTGGCTTCTTTAACTCATTACACTATTTCTTAGATTCATCCATGTTATTACATTTATCAAATGTTTTCTTTTGTTGCTGACTAGTGTTCCATTTTATGGGTAGACCAGAGTTCATCCGTTTTTCTGAGTTGGACATCTGAGTTGTTTTCAGCATTGGATATTTATAAATAAAGCTACAATAAATATGTATGGATAGATGTTTTTCATCCTCTTGGACAGACACCCAGGTCTAGAATTGCTAGATCATAGTGTAGACAGTTGTTTTACTTGATAAGAAACTGCCAGGCCATTTTTCAAGGCACTTGGAGCATTTTACACTCTGACCGGTACTGGATGAGACTTCCAGGTGCTCAGTATCCTCTTAACTTTTGGTGTTTGGGGTCCTTTTCATTTTAGCCATTCTGACAGGTGCACGGTGATATCTCATTGTGCTTTTAACTTGCATTTCCCTGATGACAGATTATGTTAAACACTACTGCTTATGTTTATTGGCCAGGCTACATCTTGTTTTATGAAGTGCCCCTTCTTGCATCTGTTAGCATATGTGTTATAAATATTTTCTCCCAGTCTGCAGGCTATTTTCTTAGCACTGTTTTTTGATGACTGATGCTTTTCGTTTTAACGAAGTTCAATTTATTTAGCTTTTCTTCTATGGTTTGTACTTTACATGTCCTTTAGAAGAAAACTCACACACACTTGAGTGTATCAATTATTAATATTCTTAACGCTTCCTGGTTTTTAGACATGAGATTTTTTTTAACAGTCTTCTTTATCAGAGATCAGGCAGCAGATTTAACAGTGTTTTTTCAAATGTGAGCAAGGCACATGAATGACCCGGAGAGCTCGTTTAAAAACAGATTCCTGCACGTCCTTCCAAGAGCTTCTGATTCCATAGGTCTGGGGAAGGGCATGAGAATTTGCCTGCTTAACCTGCTTAGGGGATGTTGCTGCTGCTGTTTTATGGGCCACACTTTGAACAGCATTGACTTAGAAACATTAAACGGCTTCTCTACTTTTCAGGAAGAAGCTTGTTTGCCTTCTCTAAAGTCTGAGCCCGGAGCCACTAATTTATACTGTCTTCACTTGAAAAGACATCTGAAAAATCTGCTTGGGGCACCAGAGCATGGGAGCCAGGAAGCATCGCGGCAGACTGATGGACCAGCACCGCCTCATTTCCTTCTTCCTTCCAGGAAACTGGGTTTCGGCCTGTGAGCAGGGACATGCACGTATCTCTAAGCGCTAGAGCTGCGACCAGCCCCGTGATGAACTTGCCCTCCCTCCTCCGTCCACAATGAGAGAGCTGTATTTTCCCCTAAAGGGTTGACTGGTCTCTAAACCAGGAATGTCTTTATGGCCAAGTCCTTTAAAACGTTCTCTGCTCAATTTATGTTTTAAGTGGTTGGCATCTAGGTGGATATTCCTGACAGCATGCCAGCACCCTGAATTAAAGATCAACACTCTTAAATCCCAACCCAAACCACTAAGCTTCTCTAGGTTTTCAGGACAAGCAGAGAAGAACTCTTCAGCTCCCCTTCCCAACAGATCAGGATGTGGGCAACTATACGTCTATTACGTACAATGTTTATACTTGCGCAAGGGCTCCAAACAGGCACCTTGTATGTTTCCTTCTTACTGATTGTTTACTTACATATTTAGCTTTTGAAAGCATGTGAATGGGAAATGAAGTCATAAATAGTAGTTATACTTAAACTGCTTCACAGATGCCCTATGGTTCAAAGAGGGAAAATAATTTATCTCCCTTATATATATAAAAAAAAAAAAATCCTCTGAATACAGGGGAGAGAAGGGCCTGTTTCAAATACTCTGAGTCTCGCATTTTCACTAGTACTCTTTCAGGGGTACTAGGAGCAATGCGAATATCGGAGCCCGATGATTTCTGCACGGGCTTTCGAGGATTTTGCAAAAATTAGATAGAAAGTATATATATATTAGATAGAAAGTGTGTGTGTGTGTGTGTGTGTGTGTGTGTATATTTTAGCCCCAAAGGAAGGTCTGTTCATGATCAGCTGAAATTATACACCACAACTATCCCAGCAGTGAGACATTCAGAGATAGAATGAAAGCAGAACTAATTTGATTTCCATCAGCCCTGGATCTCTACCTTGTGTACAAATAATGACACCTGGGAGGCCTGTGCACCGTGAGAAGGAAGCCAACTCAGCAACTTAGCTGCATTGCTCTCCCAGTTCCCAGAGGCCTTTGGGTTATGAAGGGCTGTGTGTTTTTTCAGGAAATTAAAATGAGAGCAAATGAGTTAGCAATGGAATTGCCAGATACATTATACAGTTTCTCCTGGACGTGCCACGCGGTCCCAGCCTGTTAAACCACGTTGTCCCGTTGCCTTAACCAGCAATGCATGCCGCCCTCTTATTCCATGCGGTAGAGCAGACAGACTTAAATTAAGCTAACAAGTCCAGGAATGAGTCTGCCCCCTGCCCCTTCATTGATATACAACCTTAGAATACATTTTTTGGGTGATTGAGAGGATGTTTATTAAAGCTGGGGACAGTGGAACAAGGAAGGGCCTAGGCTAGAGGAGGCAACGGGAGAGCCTAGGCGGGGCTCTGCTTTGACTCTCTAGAAACGTTATGGGAAAGAAGTGAGCCAGGGCGGGGCTGCTGTGAGCTCACTGAAAAGTCAGAGAAAAGGGGACATTGGGGACAGGTTCAGGGGGTCAGCCCGGGACGAGCTGCCGCTGCCCGCTGCGCTTCTGGTTGCAAGTCTTGCGGGAACCCTTAGAATTTAGGAGAGAAAAGTAAAGATGCACGTCTCAGAGGAAGAAAGGCGTGGGCGAGCTCCAGAAAGAGCCCACCAGAGTACCGTTTTTACTTATCTCTCCTTTGGTTTCCCAGAACAGAGATTTCCAACCTGGACAGCTATCAGCTGTACTCGTGATTTATTTCCAAAGCACAGAGCACAATGCTCCGCTCACAATAACTGTTCTGTGGGATTCTTTCCCTTTCCTTCTTCCATTTGCCCCTCTCTTCCCACCTCTCCATAGATATAAAGAGAGAAATTAGAGACCACTCAAATTATGTTCATGTGGATATGTGCACAGAAAAAAAAAATGGGACCGTTTGACTCCAGCTTCTAGTCTACCAGCATGAGTATATATCCAAAAGAAATATAACGACCGCTCCACAAAATACCTTGAGATATCATACAAAGCTTTGCCGGTTTCCCATGGGCATTGAAAACGGAAACGAACTGTGTATTACACAACACCATCTCTTTACTTCTCTCTCGACCTGAAGTCTTATCGCATAGCCACCAACCTCAATTTCTCTTTTCTTTCAAATCAGAGACGCACACACACCTCTCGCTTTGCTTTTTCCTACTGTACGTGGTCACCTCTTTCTTACTGAGACAATGCAACCTTCAGCCTCTCCCATTGTGTCTTTACCCAGCCATATCCCACCAGCTGGTAGCAAAAGGAAAAAAAAAATAATCCCTTAAAATGAGGGAGTGAGAAAAAAGAGAGGAAAGGAAAGGGAACGACAGGAGAAAGGCTGTGAAAATGATAAAATCTCTACATGTATTTGTCTTAAAAATAAGATACCAAAGTCACAGGTTCATACCTTCACAGTCCCAATTTTCTTGAATCTTGAACACAGGATTCAGGGCAACATTGGGGCTGAGATAATCTCCTCAGGCCACCACGAAAGAGAGAGTTTTCTTGACTTCCACACAGGGTCCAGTACAGCTCTCTCCAAGTCCCAGAGGATGGAGGCGTCTGCCACGTCTACAAAATCACGGGGAAAAGGAGACATTAATAAAGAAAACCAGAAACTAAAATAGAACCGTGACCTTAAATGCAAGGCCATTGGGTTTGAGGAGACTAAGCAGAAGGTACATTCAATTCAGATTGGCATAAAAATGCATAACTCCTGAATGGATTCGGTCTCGTTGAGAATGAAGGAATCATATGAAAGTAGAAAAAGCTGTAGTCTATCAAGACTGGAAGGTATTTGAAGGACATGACTAGCCAAATTTGCTCATTTAACTTACAGGGAAACTGCAGATCAGAGAGGAAAGGTCATTTCCCCATGAGGATTTGTTACCTGTGGCCTATTTCAAGCAAATCATTAGTAAACACAAACAAGGCACTTAACACTGGGGTCTATGCTAAAATGAGACAAGGGGATGACGCATCACTTCACCTTGAAACACTTCTGTCACTGGGCTTCTAAGATCCCGAACTTGCCTCCTATCACTGGCCACTCAGCCTTGGCTCCCGCCGTTACTCTTCCTGGTTTGTTCCTTCTCGGTCAATGGCAATTCCGCTCACCGGCGGGTCAGCCCAAACCCTCCAGTCAACCTTGACTCCTCTCTCTCCTACACACCCCACATCTTCCATGACATCAGCAAATCCTGGTGGCACTACCTTCAGAACAAATCCAGCAGCTGATCACTCTTGCAGCCTGTTACCGCTACCCTAGTCCAAAGCTTCATTGGAGGCCTACAGGGCTACACAGCAGGCACGCTCAAGCCATGGCTGGCACTCTCAACTATGCCCTTGAGTGAGAGTGACACTGCCCTGCTAGAGCCTTCCATACCACTCAGAATCAAAGTCAAAGTCATTACAATGGCCCCAAAGACCCCGGGTAATGCAGCTCCGTTACCACGGTCTTTCTCTCCCACTGCTTGCCCTTCCTTTACTCCTCCTCGGCCACACTGGGCGAGCCGATCCTCTAACATGCCTCTAATTCTACTTGAGGCTGAGGCGCTCACAGTTTCCTTTGCATGGAATGTTCTTTTCCCCTATTTCTTATCTTTGTTCCAATGTGGCCTGTTCAATGAGACGGGCTCCCTTATCCTGAGCAGTCCAGCATTGGTTAGGAAACAGGGTGCAATGCTTAAGAAGGGGGTTTTGGCATAGTCATAGTATTCTCAACCTGGTTGCACCACTATGAAACTCTGACCAAAACACTTCACCTCTCCAGGTACCCTATTTCTCTATAGAAGTGAGATAATAGAAATAGATATCCTTTGCCCAGCCAGCGTGGCTCAGCGGTTGAGCATCAACCTATGATCCAATAGATCTCGGTTCGATTCCCGGTCAGGGCACATGCCCAGGTTGAGGGCTTGATCCCCAGAAGGGGGCAGGAGGCAGCCAATCAATGACTCTCATCGATGTTTCTATCTCTCTCTCTCCCTCTCTCTTCCTCTCTCTGAAATTAATAAAAATGTATTTTTTTAAAAAAGAAATAGCTATCCCTTTAGGATGTTTATGAAAATGAAGCAAGGCAACATAGTTAAATCATTCATTACTATGCATGCCATAAGTACTCAACGAATATTTGCTGCTCTTAATTTTCTCTTTTTATTGTTGCAGGCTTACATTCTGCATGGCATTCCATAACTATATCTACCTGCATCTCCATCCCTGCCAGAGTCTGAGTCTTTTCTGTCTTGCATCAGATGGGATGGTTTTTGTGGCCCTTGGTGGCTTTGGGCAACTTTCCGTCCCCAGGCTCAGACAAGTATCATTACCTCAACTGCACCCAAGTCCTGTAGGCAGATGGCAGAACTTTGTAACATGAGAAGCTAAGGTTTTCCCATTCATTCCTTGCCCTCTTGCGGATGCCCAGCAATTTGAGGATGATCTTGGCCTTCATCTTATAGCAGGCTCATAATCGTCAAGCCACACCCTACAATTACTCCTGCCTTCCACAGCCAAGAAACACAACTTTGGAAGCAAACAATGCTGTGATTCAGCACAAGGATATGTGGAGTTATTAAAGAAAATTGTGCTGCTATGGGAATTCAAGTCTCTGGTCTATCCAAATGCATCTTTCCTTTTTTTCTAACTAATATTAAGAAACTGTCTATGTTTGGTAGTAGCAACATAAAAATACGTCACCCACCTTTCAGGCTTAGTTAGAGTACAACCTAATAAAAAGGGAAGATGCGTCAGGGAAAACTGACTTACACGCCATTCTGTGTCACTGAAGGCCTTTCTCCAAATGCAGGCACCAACAAATGTTTATTGAGGACATGATATCTGCCGTGCACTTGGTAAGGACCGGGGATATGTCGGGAATATTAAGGACTTTATTTGTACCCACATGAACCTTTCATTCTAGCATTCCTTTGTCTTTTGTAATTTTCTAAACTCTGCCAAGACATGGGAAGACTTGATAGACTCCTGTAAAATTGTTGATTCACCCAACCAGTGATACAGGGAGTGCCGATATAAATAGCCTAATTTCTGCTTCACATAGAGAGAAAATTCTGTAATTCTTGCTTTTCTCCAGAGACACGCTCATTTTCTTAATTTGCTCCCCCACCCGCGGCTCTTCTGAGCTCATCCTGGTTTATTTCCCTCCTTCAGCAAAGAAATGAAAAGAACCCACCAAACCCACAAATACACGATCTAGTAACAAGATGTCACATGGACAGCGGGGTATAGAGAGCACTGGGGGTCAGAGGACACAGCTTCACAAATCAGCTTTTTTTGAAACCTTTAGAAACTGTAATGGGATTAACGCAGTCCTGTGGCAAAATAAACTGAGAAAGTATGTACTAGAAATATTGTCAAAGGAAATAATATCCAGAAAGAACCATGTTCACCTTAAATCACAGTGTCTGTACCAGTAGAGTGCTAATCACACAGGTGGGCAGCATCCTTGCCTGTCGGCCAGCCTGGATGCATCGGGGAATATGTCATTTTTCAGGAAGCATCAATTACTGGCTGCTCTCATGGCAGAGTGTGAACCACACCTGTCTAATGGCTGGGCTGTGTTGAAAATGATTCCTGTGAGCTTTATGCTCCACAAATGTACCCAGACACACTCCTAAGAGAGGCAGGCATCCGGAGAGGGTAGGGCTGGGGAGATAGGAGAGGGACAGGAAGGAATTAAGGACTCTGAAATAGACCTTGATTAAGATTTTTGAAAGGGTGCCAGGGTGAACTATGAATTAAATCTAACTATACCAACAGGGTCAGGTCCTCCTGGGAAGTGGAGAAACATTGCCATGAAGACTTACATGTCAAGGGTAACTGTGATTGTAGGGTTACCACGTATACAAGGTTGTGCCTCACATACCTACACACAGCATCCACACAGCCAGCGATGCTTTACAACAGGTATATTACATCCATTCGCATATAAGGATGTTGATGTTTGGAGACATTCAGTAATCTGCTTGAAATCACAAAACTAAAAAGTGAGAGTCAGGATTCAAACTCAAAACCAACCAGGGAGCTTATTGGTGCTCCCCAACCATGCTACAAACCACAGTGGATTCTCTCCTTCATTCTGTTTCTGATTAAACCTAGTTCTGAGGCTTGGAAATGCCACAGTTTGAACTCCAAGGAAGAATTCAGTCTTCCAAGAATGGAATTGTGAAAACTGGCCCAGCCCAGCCTCAGCCAAGGAGAGTGAAAGTACCCAGATAGGAGAGGACACGTTTCTTCCAAAGCCACAGAGGAGGTCACAGCAATCATTGGAACAGTGGCTTCCTGAGCAGTAGAGATAGTGGCCAAGGTGTCATTGGTGTTGTGTTGGGTCTTGGTGTATAAAATGTTAATTGTATTTCCTCCCAGTTGACATTACTGAAACAATGTTGGCCCTTGAAATGTAAAATACTGAGGGGGATCCAGGTTCTCACCTGTAACTGGAATCATGATCCTCTGACACAATATTAAAAAAGCTTTCCTATTTATTCCTAATCTGGGCACCAAACAATTGAACTGCTAGGGAATAGAAAAAAAAATCGGTGCTGCTGGATCTTAAGGATTATAGAAAACATCTAGTGATTTTTATTTTTTTTAATTGGCTTAAGAGAGAGAGAGAGAAGCACCAATTTGTTGTTCCACTTACTTATGCATTCATTGGTTAATTCCTGTATGTGCCCTGACTGGGGGGTCGAACCCACAACCTTGGTGTGTCAGGACGATGCTCTAACCAACTGAGCTACCCAGTCAGGGCACATCTAGTGACTTAGACACCAGATCTCTTGCCAGTGCATTAGCACTTTATTTCCTTTATGGGTTAGCCTTTGAAATAGAAATGAAATCAAAAGGACTCTAGAGGAAAAGTCACTGAACATAATAATGGAATGTTGGAGAATTTCCTAGCATCTGGGTTAATTGCAGATCTGTATTCTTCTTTGCTGGTTAATGAAATGTTTACCTGAAATTTCATAAAGTGGGCCAGACACTGACAATCTGTAGGTGGTTATAGCAGTGGCTTACAAGTGTGATTTTAAAAATTAGTCTTTGTGGAAGGAGAGATGCCCACCCATACCCACTATCTCTCCGAGTGTGACACTCGCTGTTTTAGATATCTAGAAATACAGGTCCATCCTTTGCTTTAGAAAATGGGTCTTTGTCACCAGAAAAGCAGTACTTGTTCCCAGCCTAATAGTAAGTCTACATATGAGTTCCCTAAATACATCACTGTTTGCATGATTCAGATATTCAGTCAAAGTCCTCATGAACTTCCATGCATGCCTGTGAACCAACACACAACACAGATACCGACATTTACGGTGGCACCATGGTACCCCACAGGGCCTCAAGTGGAGACAGTGGGTGTTCGGTGCTGCCTCGGACACAAGCAGTGCTGAGTCCACCTCACCCTGCTTATCTGTTACTGTGGGGACACACTTGGATCACCTGCTTTGACTGACCAGTGATTAAGCTACTATGGGCTATTTTAAGTGACTGTTTTCCATATATTTCTGGATACAAACAAAATAAAATGTTTAGAAAGCATCACCTCACGCCAAGAACAT